CTCTGTCCCTTTCGGCGCCCTCGGGAACCCCAATTAAACGTAGGTTTTTCCTCCTTAGAGTGTCATTTATTTGCCTTAATCTGTCTTCATGGTTCTTTAATTGTTTATCTCTTTTTTCCTCAGTTTCCCTCCTTGCCATCAACTTGTCTTCTATGTCACTCACTCGTTCTTCCACCTCGTTAACCCTCGTCGTTAGGACTTCTAGTTTGGATTGCATCTCATTCAATTGATTTTTAATTTCTGCCTGATTGGATCTAAATTCTGCAGTCATGAAGTCTCGTGAGGCCTTAATGCTTTTTTCTAGAGCCACCAGTAGCTGTATAATGGTGCTTCTGAATTGGCTTTCTGACATTGAAGTGTAATCCAGATTCTGTAACTCTGTGGGAGAGAGGGCTGTTTCTGATTCTTTCTTTTGAGGTGAGGTTTTCCTTCTAGTCATTTTGCTCAGTGCAGAGTGGCCAAAAACAAGTTGTATTGGAACACGGGGGAGTATCACTGGTCCGTCTAGCTGGTCTTCTGGGGGAGGGGCCTGCTGTGCTGATTCTCAGGTGTTAGCACTTGGGGGAGCTGCTCTGCCCCTGCCTGCTGCAGGGCTCAGCGGGGGTTGTTCACCCCGTGGGGCCCCGGGAGGATCAGCCGCAGTTGCTATGGCAACTCTGGAAGCCTGGATTCAGCCTCCGCAGGAACAACGGGGCTCGGGGCTCTCGGTTCTCCGTCTGCAGGGCCTGGAGGCTCCGGGGCGGGGCCGCTGATCTGCTCAGCTCGGGGCAGGAGCGTCCTCGCTGTCCTGGGCCCTCCCGGCCTCTGCCTGTCCCAGGGGGAGGCGGGATCCTGGGCTGTGTCCCGGCGCCCTGTGCTCCGGGGCCTGCGCTGTTGGATTCGCGCTCCCGCCCCGCAGCTCCCTCCCTGGAGCCGCTCCCGAGCCCCTCCGAGCTGCTCCGGTCGGTCCCGCCGTGCGCGCTGCAGCCCTTAGGGAGCTCGGAGCACTCCCCTGCGCTCGCAGGTGTCTGTTAGTGTCCCCGGGAGCCCGAGGGCATCCCCGCCCTCCTGGGTCCTGCTCCAACTCCCTGCGAGCCCCTTTCCGCCCGCCCGGGAAGGTTGGTGCAGCTCCTGCTCCTCCGGGACGGGGCTCTCCTGTCCTGGGGACACTCGCCCCGGCCTCAGCCCGGCTCCTCGCGGGGCCCCTCCCCCTCCGAGGCCTTTTGTTTCTTTATTTCTTTTTCCCCGTCTTCCTACCTTGATAGAAGCGCGGACTCTTCTCACTGTAGCGTTCCAGCTGGTCTCTCTTTACATCTCAGGCCGAATTCGTAAATTTTCAGGATGGTTTGAAGGTTATCTAGGTAATTTGGTGGGGACAGGTGATTTGGGGACCCTGCTCTTCCGCCATCTTGCCCCTCTCCTCCCAATCATTTATTTTCTTGTATAGTTCATGCTGTTTGTGTCCTATATAAAGAATCTTTGCCAACTCAAGGGTCACAGAGACTTTTCCCCTTTTTTCTAGGAGTTTTCTAGATGTAGGTTTTACATTTAGTTCTAAAATCCACTTTAAGTTAATTTTTACATATAATGCAAAGATTGAGGGGTATGGCTTGGTTTGATTTTGCATAAGAATATCCCATTGTTCCAGTATCATTTATTTAAAAGACTATCCTTTTTTACATTGAATTGCCTTGGCACCTTTGTTGAAAACAATGGGCCATATATGTGTGGATCTATTTCTAGACTCTTTATCTTATACCACTGATCTATATGTCTGCCCTTACGCCAATACCATAAGGTTATTGATTACTACCCTTTTATGGTAAGTCTTGAAGTACAGTAGTTCTTTCTTTTGGTTATTCTACATCCTTTGCTTTTCTGCGTACATTTTAGAATCAGCTTGTCAATCTCTACACAAAGTTCCACCTTGAAAAACATGAAAAAAATGGGAGGTGTAATGTTATTGAATTTCAAGACTAACTATAAAAGCTACAGTACTATAACACTGTAAACTTTGCATAAGAATATACAGATAAACTGGTGTGCCTGGGTGGCTCAGTGGTTTAAGTGTCTGCCTTCAGCTCAGGTCCTGGGATCAAGCCCCACATCGGGCTCCCTGCTCAGTGGAGTCTGCTTCTCCCTCTCCCTCTGCTGCTCCCCCCACTCAGTGCACGCTCTCTATCTCTCTCTCTCTCTCTCCCTCCCTCTCTCTCAAATAAATAAATAAATCTTTAGGGAAAAAAGGACAAATAGATAAGGAACTGAACAGAGAATCCATAAATAGATGCATGTAATATGCTGTCAATTTTTGATGAAGTACCAATGCAAATCAATGTGAAAATAAATGTATTTTCAATAAATGGCCCAAGAACTGGATAACATTAAAGATATGGAAAAATATACTTTGGTCCCTAGATCTCATACCATGCCCCCAAATTAATTTGCAGACCATAGACCTAAATGTAAAAGCTAAAGTTATAAAGCTTCTGGAGAAAAAAATAGAAGAAAATTTTTCATAGCCCCCAGCTAAAAAGTGAATAAAGTAGGTCACAAACTTAGGATTCTACTCAGAATACAAGACTACTTAGAAGTCAGCAATAAAAAAATAAGCATCCTAATTAATGATACACAAAAGACCAGAAAACATACTTCATAGAAGATATGCTTATGACCAATAGCACATAAAAATGTCCTCAATATCATTAGTTACAGGGAAACACAAATTAAAACCCCAATGAGGTACCATTTCATACCTATTAGAATTGGACAAAAAAAGCCTGAGGACTGATGAGGATGTGGATCAACTGGAACTCTCATTTATTGTTGGGAATAGCAAAAAACAGTACAAATAATCTAGAAAACTCTGGAAATTTCTGATAACGTTAACCATACGTCAATTTCATGAGCCAGCAGTTCTGTTCCTAGGTTTATTCCCAAAAGAAGTGAAACTATATAGATACAAAGAAGTCTTTTTTTTTTTTTTTTTTTTTATTTATGATAGTCACACAGAGAGGGAGAGAGAGGCAAAGACACAGGCAGAGGGAGAAGCAGGCTCCATGCACCGGGAGCCTGACGTGGGATTCGATCCCGGGTCTCCAGGATCGCGCCCTGGGCCAAAGGCAGGCGCCAAACCGCTGCACCACCCAGGGATCCCACAAAGAAGTCTTATACTAAGATGTTTATTACCAGCTTCATTCCTAATGAAGCCCCAAACTGTAAACAACCCAAATGTCCATCAATAGGAGAATAAACCAGCTGGAATATTCATACAAGAATATTACTATTTACCAATAAAAAGGAATGAACTAGGGGCACCTGGGTGGCTCAATCAGTTAAGCACCTGCCTTTGGCTCAGGTCATGATCTCAGGATCCTGGGATTAAGCCCCATATCAGGCTCCTTGCTCAGCAGGGAGTCTACTTCTCCCTCTTCCTCTGCCCATCTCCCTGCTCATTCTCATTCTCTCTCTCTCTCAAATAAATAAAATAGTAAAAAAAATTTAAAGGAACGAACTACTAATAACACATAACACATAGCAACATGGATGAACCTCTAAAACATGTAGAAGGTAAGCCAGACACAAAAAAGCACTTACTATATTCCATTAATATGAGGTTCAATAAGGGGTGCCTGGGTGGCTGTCAGTAAGCATCCAACTCTTGATTTCCACTCCGGTTATTACCTCAGGGTCAAGAGATCAAGCCAAGCATCAGCTTCTATACTCAGTGGGAAATCTGCTTAAGATTCTCTCCCTCCCCCTCTCCCTCTCCCTCTGCCCCTCTACTTCTTCCCTCTCTAAAAAGAAAAAAAAAATTTAGTCTAAATAAATGACTTTTAAAACTTACATTCATAAGAATCCAGAAACAAAGTTCCACATGATACCCACTGCATTGGGTAGAATGAGGTTTTTCTATGAGTAACTGAGACCTGATACAACAATGGCTTTAAAAAAAAAAAAAAAGTATTTCTTTCTCTGCTGCATGTAATGAGCTGTGATAACAGTCCTACAAATTCCAAGGAGCCAAGTTCCTTCAAAATTCCTGCTCCGCACCCTCAGCATGTTCCTTGTGTCTTGAGATTGCTGCTCAAGCTCTGGTCACTGTGTACACATTTCAGCCAGGAGAGAAGAAAGAGATCTGAAGAAGACTTTGTCCTCCATTAAGGACATTTCCCCAAATTCACACTCAACATTTCAGTTTTTATTGGCCAGAACTTAGTGCCATACTTAGATGTGCAGGACTTGGAAATACAGTCTTTATTCTGATCAGCTATATGCTCAGAAGAAAAGGGATGAAAAATGTCAGAAGTGTAGTTTTAGATCTTTACCCCAGTCCATTTCTTTATTCACCCAAATATTCATGGGCACTTACTTCTCACGTGTAAAATGCACTAATCCTCTCCTAAAAGAAAATAACCTCAAAGTTTCAAGAACAGAGAAGGAAATCGGGAGCAGTGAAGTGAGTGCTCCACATGGTAATAGACGGCTACTCTGTGACAACAGGGTAATGAGAGAAATGAGCCAGCACAGACAGGGTAAGCACTCAACCTGTCCTCTCCCTGAGCCTCAGCCTGGTGTTCTTCATGGTCAGGTCAAGGCAGTCTGGCGCACAAGGCTCCACATAACTCAGGCAGGAAGTAAGGCTTGCAGTTTGGAGGCAATGCCCTGACCTCCCTCTCGTTCCACTCTCTCTCACTTCCTCCTCCCCAGATGCAATGTCTACGAAGGGGAACGGGAACTCGGGTACAAAGCTCCCTGCAGAGATGCTGGTGGCCATGGGGGGCATAGCAGCAGGATCTAAGTGCTAAGACCATCTGTCCAACTCACATCAGAGTAGATGAGGGCCTCCCCTCTCACTCTAGAGTTTAAAAAGCATCACGAACACATTCCTAAGTTAAATGTGAGAAAAATTATCAGTGTCCCCCACCCCTGGTCAGGAGAGATACAGAACACACAGGTGACAATCCAAACATTTATTAGTTGGCATCTAAGATCTCCACACTCCATCACTGCCTCCACACAACTTGGGGTGAGCCTGGATGTGGCCACTAGCTACTGAGGAAGGGGGCCCCCATCACGGGGCTGCCATCACAGAGGGCCCATGTGCCACAGGCTGACCATGCACAGGGAGATCCTTGCTGGGTACAGGGGAACTCCTCGCAGCCCCAGACACACCCGAGGCAGATGTGGAAACCCCAGGCCTCCCACCTCAGCAGGGACATGGTGACACCTCTCTCTCTGCACCACCAGCAAGCTGACTGCTCTGACAGAGTCTCAGGTGACAGCCTGAGCCCACACCCAGCTCCGGTGCTGTCTCACTGCTCCTGAGGTCTCTTCTGTGGTCGGGGCTCTCCAAGATGGCAAGGACGCACCGGGGTCTGCCTTGCAGGCTGGCTGGCTCTCAGGCTGGCATGCTTGCACTCCCTCCTTCCAGGCAGGCAGAGCACAGCCAAGGTGTGGGTGTGGCCGAGGCAGGTGATTGGGGCATCAGGCTGGGGCACTTTCTGGGCTCCAGTCTTGCTGCCATCTTCTACTGTGTGGTCCTCTACAGGGTCAGTGGATGCCAACCAGAATTGCAGGAAGGGGCTTTTTTTTTTTTTTAAGATTTTATTTGTTCATGAGAGACACAGTGAGAGAGGCAGATACATAGGCAGAGGGAGAAGCAGGTTCCCTGCAGGGAGACTCATGCAGGACTCAATCCCGGGACCCCGGGCTCATGCCCTGAGCCAAAGGCAGATGCTCAACCACTGATCCACCCAGGCTCAGGAAAGGGCATTTGAGTAGGAGCAGGAGGTCAGAGGAGAGGCCAGGCCCGGTCTGAGACTCAGAAACAGGGGAGTGGGTGAGGGTGATCACGGGGCCATCAGGATGCCCAGCGGCAGCACCAGGCACAGAAGTGGGATGAGTAACACCACTGAATACAAAGAGGCAGCCTGGTTCATCACGTTAACTATCCACTCAGCATAGGAAGCAATGTCCATATAAACTCCAGGCACATTTCTATGACCACAGCCAAAGCCCCAGCTCACGATTCCCACCTGGACCCATGTGTCCTGAAATTTACAGACCAGAGGGCCCCCAGAATCTCCCTGGAGAAAGAGAAAGAAACAAACGCAGGAATGGAAGACCATCCACGTGAGAGCAAGCTGACTACACCGTAAGGCACTGGGCAGTCAGGCACAGGGACCTTCCCCAGGGACCTACCAGGCCCACCCTTCTGTGAATACGGAGAACTGAGAATTGAAAAGTTAATGGCCAGGGGTGCCTGGATGGCTCATTAGGTAGAGCATACAACTCCTGATCTCGAAGTTGTAAGTTTGAGCCCAACACTGAGTGTAGAGATTACTTAAAAATAAAATGGTAAAAAAAAAAGAAAGAAAAGTTAATGGGAAAACTTTAACATCCTCAGGACAATATTATGAATGACTGGTCATTTCCCAAACCATAGAGGCTGTTAAACATTTTGAATACCACCCCTGCATGAGAACCCCCAAAATCCATACATCTAGCTTAAAGTTTCTCTAGAACTCTTAACTCATATAGCCAGTTCCCTCCATATTTGACACTCCACTCCCAGACATCCCATACACACCCCATCTCATGCAGAACATTGCATGTCCTCTCCCAGATCTGCTCTGGTGCCCCCACTCTGCACCACCCAACTCAGACAGAAACAGAGAGCCCTCCTGACCTGCCCCTCACCCCCACCCTCCCAGCAGTCAGTGACTCAACCTCAGGTACACCCTCTTTACCCCCTAACCACCCCAGGTCCTACTCAGAACTCAGCAGCATTGCCTAGACGATGGAAACAAACACCTAGCCTGCAGTCCTGCCTGGGCAGCATCAAGAAGCTCAGCCCAGCGCTCTAGGCCACACATACTCCCACTCCAGGCCTCTTCCCTGGCCCTGTTGACCACCTCACTGCTCCAGACCTGGAAGATGTGCCCTAAACGTGACAGGTTCTCTCGCACCTCGGAGCTGCTGTACATGTGGCTCCCTCTCCCTATAAGGCTCTTCTCTTTCCAAGAAATCCAAATACTCATCCTCTGAGACCCAGCTCAAATGCCCCCTCCTCCAGAAAGCACTCAGTGCAGGAGTCCTGCAGGCACGCACAGGGGGACCCTGAGCGAACACCTTCAGACCTCACCTCATGTATGACGGGTATGATGTCTGTGTGGCGGGGTTATGACTGGGGGGTTAACAGAGCTAATGGGGACAGACGCTCCCACTGGTCACATGGGAGTGTGACATGGGAGGAACCCAATGAAAGGAACTCAGAGTGTTAGCATTACCCACTCCCTGACTTCCCCCCACTTTGGCAGTGTCCCCAGGCAGCAAGGGCTGCTCTCTTTTGAAGGAACAGGGCAGACCAGCTCAGGGGAGCAATGAGTGGTTCCCCTCACGAGTGAGAGGAGGTGACAGATGAACCAGGCCCTGGCACTCAGGAATGAGGAGACTTTGAGGGGACATCCTCAATGTGGAGGTAGAAAGGGGTCTGTGAAGTTACCTGACAAGAATCCTTGCCTGCTGCTTTATAGCCACAAATCATGCCTTCCAGTACTACACTCTTATTTGTTGTCATGGCTTTCTGAATCATCTCGTTACACCTCTTGTGGTGGATGATGTCTTGATCGACCTCTTGGAGAATATGTGCAACAAGTTTGCTGCCTGCAAGTAAAGAGGCTCAGCAGTGGGTGGTTCTGCACCAGTGGACAGGAAGCCCCTACACACCTAGAATCCCCTTTGAAAAAGACAGGGGAGTGGGGACTGTCCCCATTTGACACTGGAGGAAACTGAGACCCAAAGTTGACATGGGGAGGAAAGGTGGTAGGAACTAAGACAGGATGAAGACGAACCAGTCTAGATGGGAAGAAGGCAAGGCCTTATCAGCCTGAGAAATAATAATCAAGCCTCTGTTACCCTGTATCAATAGTAATAGTGACAGGGATCCCGTGCGTCAGTAACCTATCTTTACTTTAGAGCAGGACCACAGACTCTGGAATGGGTAGTGCCCCAAAGTTACCAATCCAGTCTCTGCCCAGAAATAGAAGGCCCTACAGGGATCCCCTACAGGGATCATCTGGCTCTGCCTGTACCCAAAGGGACACAAAGCTCCCTGACAACCAAGGCCAGTACTTTCAGAGAGGAACACTTCTGACTGGAAGACAATTCGTCACTTACTGAGCAGAACCCCACCTTGGAGAGAACTCCAAAGCCTTTGGCTCTGTCCCCAGGGAACCTAAAAATATCCCTAAGCCAGCCAGGCACGGTGCCACACAAATCTGCAGAAAGACTTTCAGCCAGGTATTTCTTCTCCTCCCGAGAGCAATTGCAGTTCCCAGGAAACCCATGCCTTTCCTAAACACCTACTGTGAAATGTTTCTGTTACAACAAAAGACCTCAACCAATTTCTAGGCTCACGCCAACCAGGAGCCATTACTCTGTTACCAACCTGTGGCCCCATTCCCCCTCTGCCAGGCAGTCCATCCACCTCCTGTCCCTCTCTTTAGCCTTTTTGTTTCAGGGATAGGGCTGCCTCCCACTTCCTGAGCGTGCGACCTGCCTCACAGTCTCACCATATTCTTCTTGTCTGCCCCATCCAGTCACCCAGCATGTGGTCCCAGCTTCCACCTGGAAAGTCTTCTGAGGAATGCATATAGGCTGTATGGTCATGCTGAAGTTTACAGGGTAGAGGAGCTGCAGAAGGGCAAGGTCCTTCTGAATGGATCCAATTACTGAGAGCTGAGGGTGGACAATGACGTTTCGGATAGGGACCACCACACTTGTGTTTTCTTCATAGATACTTCGGTCTCCCATCTTGACAGTGTAGCTAAAATGGCTGTGGGAGAGAAGACATGCCCTTCATGGAGACCTTGAGAAGCAACCCTCATGCCTTTTTACACACATTGCAGATGCTTACCAATCTGGCCCTGACCTCCCTCATCTCTCTTTCTACCACCCCATCTCCAAAAATCCTTGCTTCACACCTCTCAAAACTAAACTTGTTCGCTCACCCATACAATTGGTTTGGTTCACCAAATTAGTATTCCTAGTAAGGAGACCACCAGTGCAAACTCCTGTTTTTTAGTGTGTGGGCTTTGGCTGGACTAGGTTGGTTGGTTGGTTGGTTGGGTAGATTGGGTTGGGTTGGGTTAGTTGGGGTTGGATTGGGCTGAGTTGGTTGGGTTAGGTGGGGTTGGATTAGGCTGGGTTAGTTAGTTGGTTGGGTTGGGTTGGGTTGGGCTGGGTTTGGGTTTTATCAAGTTGCCAGGGCAACAGAACCTAATGGGTATTTGAGGAGAGCAGAGCTGGCTTCAGAACTCTGTATCCACTCATCACCCTCACCTTAAAATACAGTGGCCGGCAGTCAGCACCCACTGCTGTGTGATGAGGGAGCCTCCACACACGTGTTTCTGGTTGATCCTTAGGCTCACCTGCCAGGGCCACTTCCCTTCTTCGGCCGCCTCTCCTCCCAAGATTTTCGCAGTGACTTGGCCACACCCTGGGGTGAGAACAGCATGGGAGGAAGGACCTCAAAGAAACAGGGCCTGCTCCCGAGAGCCCGGGCTCCCCCGGGAAAGCACCAGCTGCTCCTCGGGCAGCCGGGAAGGCCACGGCCTCTCAGACTCCGGGGCAGCGCTGCCAAGTCCCCAGGCCCTGTACCCGCAGACCCCGAAGGCCGCGTGGACCCGTTCCTCAGAGCCCCGGGGCGGGGGGCAGGACGGGGCGGGCGGGAGAGGGCCCCTGGCTCCCCCAGTCTCCCCGGCCTCAGCCCCGCTCCGGGCTCCCAACGCCAAGTCACCTGGGACCAACTCCACCAGCTGGGACAGTATGGCAGCCTCGCGCGGCCTGGAGGTCGCCGGCGGCCCCGCAGCCCTCCACACGCTGGCGCCCGGGCCCTCAGGGCCGCCCCCCCCCCCCCCCGGGGACGACGGGGAGGACGGCGGGGAGGACGGCGGGGCGGACGGCGGGGCGGACGGCGGGGAGGACGGCGGGGCGGACGGCGGGGAGGACGGCGGGGAGGACGGCTGGGCGGACGGCGGGGAGGACGGCGGGGCGGACGGCGGGGAGGACGGCGGGGAGGACGCCCCGAGCGGAGGCGGGAGGAGCAGCAGCCAGAGCAGGAGGCCCAGCGAGCGGCCGCCCGGGGACGCCATGGGCCGCCCGCGCCTCGCCTCTGCCCGCCCCTCGCCGCCGCAGCCCCACGATCCGCGCAGGCGCGTGAGCGGTGGAAACGGCGCGCTCCCCGCCCCCGGGCCCGAGTGCGAAACCCCGAGCCCCGGCTTCCCCCTGGGTCCGTCTCCACCGCGAGTCCCACCGAACTCCGCGCGGGCCGGAGGGGTCGGGGTGCTTCTGAGGACAACCGCCCTTGATAGGGACCTTCCAGTTCCAGGGACCCCTTTGCCAAAGAGAAGCAATACAGTACGTCCGCCCTCGCCTTCTGTTGTTTATCTTACCTGCAAATATTAAGAATGTATGCATTACGTAAAATGCTTGATTATATATTTTTGGGTTTTTAAATTAAAGACTTGTGAAAAACACACACACACACACACACACAAATATATGGCCCCCATACCCCCCACCCCTACCGCACCCCGCAAGGAGCCTTAATTCTCCATGATGGTTCATCAGCTATGGGCTTCATTCACCAGACCAAGGTTTTGGGGTGGGGGGTGCTATACAGATTAAGTAGTTGAGACAAAGGAGTAGGCTGCTGTTCTCAGTGGCAGTGGCACCTTAATATATTAGCCACCACCAAAGATACCCACAAGTCAGTCCATTCTTCTTAGTACTTGGTCCCTGGCATTCGTCCTGGTGGCGCCTCCTTGGTCTTTGTGGCCTGAACGCCTTCTGCTAGGCCTCTTCCTCTCTGGGCTTCAGCATCCCTGTTGAGGTCGAGGAGAAAACAGCAATCCTAGCTTCTGAATTGCAGCACTTCCCACTTTTCCCTGGCCAAAAACAGGACAGCCAGTCACAGTGTTTTTCAGGATTGTGGATACTCCCCTCGCAATTTATTTGTCAACATCCTGGTGAAGGGATTATTCTCTAAGGCCTTCTTGGAGGTCAGAGAAGTAAGGGAGTAGGTCATACATCATGAATCCATTCTAATATTCTTCACTCTCTAACTCTTTGCATTCCTTTCTCTATGTTAAACCAAGGAATTTCTGGCATATCAAGTTCCTTTAGTGTGGTCCACCATTGAGTGGAAAACAGCCAGTATGTAGAATCTACAACATGTAGAATCATGCTCACCCTGCCTGAACCAGCAAACTGAATTTAGAATTTCTGGTAAGTGTAATCCTGATAAATGTGGCCCCAGGCCTCCCCAACCAAGCAAGAGTTCTCAGAATCCAATCCTATCATACACCTCTGATTTTTTCCAATGTAGATGAGCAAATTCTTACAGTCACTGAAAGAAGAAGGTGCTTCATAGAACAGCTACAGCAGTTGATAAAAAAACTTCAGTTCTCCTTAATGAAGTTAGGGGTAACAATATCTCTGGTATTGAAGAAGTGACTATGTTCACAAACCAAGGAACAGTGATCCAACTTAACAACCCTTAAAGTGCAGGCATCCTCGGCAGCAAACACTTTCACCATCACAGGCTGTGCTGAGGCAAAGCAGCCGACAGAAATGCTACCCGGGATTTTTTTTTTTTTAATTGGAGTTCAATTTGCCAACATATACCATATCACCCACTGCTCATCCCGTCAGCATATCATCCCTGCTCATCCTCCTCAGTTCCCATCACCCAGTCACCCCAACCCCCCACCCACCTCCCTTTCCACTACACTTTGTTCATTTCCCAGACACTACTTGGGATCTTAAACCAACCTGGTGCGGACAGTCTGGCTAGTTTAAGAAGATAGGCTAAAGCCCTGCCCACCCAATCTGTGGATGGAAAAGTATCACTTGCTACTGATGAAGATGATGATGATGAAGTTTCAGATCTTTTTTTTTTTTTAAGATTTTATTCATTAATTCATGAGAGACACACAGAGAGAGGCAGAGACATAGGCAGAGTCAGAAGCAGGACTCAATCCCAGGACCCCAGGATCACACCCTGAGCCAAAGGCAGATGGTCAACCACTGAGCCACCTGGGCACCCTGAAGTTTCAGATCTTGTAAAGAGTTTTGGTTCTAAAATTTAGCTTCTAAAGAAGATAAAACTTGAAGAAGTTACCAGGAGTTGCTATTTGATAGTTATAATTACTGCTTTTTAAAATTTTGTTCATGGACCTGACAAAACCTAGGTCTCTACACTATTCTCAAGCCTGAGCCTGTTGGACACTGCAGCTCTTTTTGGTTTTTGCTTAGACGCAATTCATTCTTTGCAGCTAATTAAACTGAAGAGGCCTGTAAATAAAGGTTGAAACAAGGTTAATAAAGTTCTTTGCCTAGAATGAATGAATGAATGAATGAATGAATAAATAAATAAATAAATAAATAAATATTATGATGAACATATTTGAAGGCTCTAGTTCAGACATCAGTAAATGTTTTCTGTGAAAGGCCAGACAGCAATATTTTAGGATTTTGAGGTACAAGTGAGAGTATTATGTTTAAGTTTCCATACAAAAAAGAAGGAAAAATTTCCACCAAAATATAATAATAATAGTAACTGGATATAATATTTTGTAATACAAATCTACTAATGAGATGAATGGAATTCTTTTTTGGGAGAATAACATTTTGCTTAATTGGATTCAAAATTAGTGTTCTCCATCATCAAAATCAATTGCAAATTTTCTGATAATGGTGATCTATAATGATATTTTATGCATTTAATCTTTTAAAATGTCTTTTCATGCAGTTAAGTGCTGCCAAATGCTGATATTAATCTGTAATCATATAGCTTTGAGCATATTCTTCACTTGGAAGGCATTTACTGAGTTATTTTAGGTTTTTCTCTTGATATTTGCCTTTTATTGTGTCATTACATTGCAAATTAATCACTTCACTGAAGTTTAAGTGGAAGCTCCTCAACTGCAGTTAGACAGATTTTGAAATATGTAAATTTCCTTTGCAGTGCTTACACAATTCCAAAAACTGCTTCTGGAGTTGTGGCAGAAAGCTCAGGAAATATATTTACTGCAAATTTTGGTTGGAATGCATATTTTGCTTGTTTTAACTTTTGACAGCACAAGAACTGTTTAAAACAGCTTGACATAACTTCTGATTCAAAAAACCTTGCCTATCATCAAAATGATTTTACTATAGTGTAAAAAGCAATGGAAAACTAATACAGGATGAGAAAAAAGAATAGAGAGGATACTGTTATAGGTCCTTGCACTATTTAAAAAAGCAGGGATCCCTGGGTGGCGCAGCGGTTTGGTGCCTGCCTTTGGCCCAGGGTGCGATCCTGGAGACCCGGGATCGAGTCCCACGTCGGGCTCCCGGTGCATGGAGCCTGCTTCTCCCTCTGCCTGTGTCTCTGCCTCTCTCTCTCTCTCTCTGTGACTATCATAAGTAAATTAAAAAAAAAAATTTAAAAAAAAGCAGATACTATTACTAGAAAGAAGAGGTCAATTGATTAAGATTGATTAAAGATAAACACTGTAATGCAAGGGAAACCAAGGGGAAATGTTAACTATAAATAAGAAAATAGCAAAGATAAAATAGAACCATAAAAATTACTCCATCAATTTCAAAGAAAGCAGAAACAGGAAAAAAAAGGATGGTACAAATAGAGAGCAATTGGCATGGGGGTAGATTTTAATCCAACAATATCAATACTTATATTAAAGGTAAATGTTCTATTAAATGAATTAAAGCTTCTATTACATGAATTAAAATAGATTGTCAGACTGGATTTTTTTAAAAACACAACTCATCTATATGCCCACCTTAAATATCAAAACATAAATAGGTTATATGGGATGGAATATGATATACAATGCAAACACTAACTAGAAGAAGGAGCGGTTGTATTACTATCAGGCAAAGCCAACCTCAGGAAAAAGAATATTATCAGGGATAAACAGAGACATTAATTACAGAATGATAAAATTTTAAATGTGTATGCACTTAAATACATCTAACAATAGAGCTTCAAAATTTATAGAGCAGCGAGAAAAAAGACAATCCAACCAAAATTAGAATTTGGAACTTCAATATGTCTTTCTTAATAATTGATAGAACAAGTACACAGAGAACTAGTAAGTGTACATAAGATCTGCAAAACGCTATCCATAAATTAGACTTAATGGACATTTATAGAATAATCTATCCTAGCAACAGCAGAATACGCTGTATTCAAATATGTTCATCCCAAGAATGAGCATATTATGGGCCCTTAAACAAATGGTAATAAATTTAAAGAACTGAAACTACAAAATTTATTCTCAGATCATAACAGAGATTAGAAACCAATAACAAAAATATCTTGAGGGCCACCTGAGAGGCTCAGTCAGTTAAGCATCTGACTCTTGATCTCAGCTCATGTCTTGATCTCAGGGTTGTAAATTCAAGACCAGTGTGGACAGCCCACCAAAAAAA